TCACAATGAGATATCACCTCACACCAGTCAGAATGGCCATCATCAAAAAGTCTACAAATAAATGCTGGAGAGGGTGTTGAGAAAAGGGAACACCTGCACTGTTGGTGGGAATGTAAATTGATACAGTCACTATGGAAGAGGGTATGGAGATTTCTTTAAAAACTAGGAATAAACCACCATATGACCCAGCAATCCCTCTCCCAGGCATATATGCTGAGGAAACCAGGGTTGAAAAGCATACATGTATCCCATTGTTCACTGCAGCACTATTACAATAGCTAGAACATGGAAGCAACCTAGATGTCCATCCACAGATGAATGGATAAAGAAGTTGTGGTACATATACACAATGGAATATTACTCAGTCATAAAAAGGAACACATTTGAGTCAGTTCTGATGATGTGGATGAACATAGAACCTATTATATAGAGTGAAGTGAGTCAAAAAGAGAAAGATAAATATCATATTCTAATGCACATATATGGAATCTAGAAAAATGGTACTGAAGAATTTATTTACAGGGCAGCAGTGGAGAAACAGACATAGAGAAAAGACTTATGGACATGGGGAGAGGGGAGGAGAGGGTGAGATGTATGGAAAGAGTAACATGGAAACTTACATTACCATGTGTAAAATAGATAGCCAACGGGAATTTGCTGTATGGCTCAGGAAACTCAAACCGGGGCTCTGTATCAACGTAGAGGGGTGGGATGGGGAGGGAGATGGGAGGGAGGTTCAAAAGGGAGGGGATATATGTATACCTATGGCTGATTCACACAGAGGTTTGACAGAAAACAACAAATTCTGTAAAGCAATTGTCCTTCAATGAAAAATAAATTAAAAAATAAATAAATAAGGTGGATGGGACTTCCCTGATAGTCCAGTGGCTAAGACTCCAAGCTCCCAGTGCAAGAGGTCTGGGTTTGATCCCTGGTCAGGGAACTAGACCCCACATGCTGCAACTAAAAAGTTGCAACAAAATGGAAGATCTAGCATGCGACAACTAAGCTGTACCCAGTACAGCCAAATAAATAAATAAATCTTAAAGAAAAAAAATTTCTACAAAGTTTAAAAAATAATAAATAAATAAGGTGATTTGTCTAGGTCTCATCAATAAAGCTGTGTGTGGGACCAGCCTGGATCACCCACCGAGCAAATTTCTATGTCCTTGGTCTCATTATTCTCAAGAAAAGAGCCTGGAAACTGCAGGGCCATGGAACCCCGAGGCAGGAAAGCTGCTGGATCGCCCGCTGGGTCTCCAGGCTAACCTGAGCTTGGATTTGGTTCTGCCACTTTCTGGCTGCCTGACCCTGGATGGTGGGGGGCGTTGATAATAATCAGTCTCACGAGACCATAGCAAAGTGAGAAGACGATTGTGAATGCACCCAGCAAAATGCCTGGCACCGAGTAGCCTCCTCCATGCAGGCTTCTGTCTTAATACCTTGTATTCAGTAGCTGTGGCTCCTAGAACAAATTCCCACACACCTCGTTGGCTTCAAACCACAGGAATTTCTTCCCTCGCAGTTTTGAGGCCAGACATCTGAAATGCAGCTGTTGGTGGGGCCATGTTCCCTCCAGAGGCTCCTAGGGAGAAACTTTCCTCACCTCCTCCAGTTTCTGGTGGTTCTTGGGTTCCTTGGCTTGTGGCCACATTGTTCCCATCTCTGCCTCGTAGCCTTCTTCCCTATGTATGTCTGTCTCTTTGTTCTCTCCTTCTATAAGGACTCCAGTCATTGGATTTAGGGCCCATCAGAATGATTACCTGGACTTCCCAGGTGGCCCGTGGTAGAGAATCCGCCAGCCAATGCAGGAGATGCAGGTTCAATCCCTGGGTGGGGAAGATGCCCTGGAGGAGGAAACGGCAACCCACTCCAGTATTCTTGCTGGAGAATCCCATGGACAGAGCAGGCTGGCGGGCTATGGTCCAAGGGGTCACAAAGAGTCAGACACGACTGAGTGACCAAACAACAACAGGGTGATTACGTCTTGAGATGCTTAACTAATTGCAGCTGCAAATATCCTTTTCCCAAATCAGGTTATATTCTGAGGTTTTGTGTGGACAGTATATTTGGGGAGCGAGACCCTCTTCCAGCCAGCGCACACCTCACGGACGAGGAACCCAAGACCCCGCCTCTGCCCTGTACCTCTGCTCCCTTCTTCCAGCAAGAAAGTCCATCCTGGGGTCGTTGTCTCACACGGTCTGAGCCTGTCTCCTCTCCTGCAAAACAGACCTTCCTGGTGTCTGGACCCCGATGCGTCCAGATCAAACCCCAAGGCTGACCCAGGGCAGAATGGAGCTCACTTTCCCAATAGTTTCTGTCCGGGGTTAGCCCACAGGTTCTCTGGGAACTTCTAGGACACAGTGGGTGACCGAGTGGAAGAAGGCAAATAGGGATGGGGTGGCGCGAGTAGAATGCCCGTTTTAACCCTTTCCTTGTCGGGAAGCAGCCCTAGGCCTGAGCCTCCGGTTGCGGCCAAACCCTAGCCCGCAGCGCCCCCTGGCGGTCATCTCAAGTGCGCACCGCAGCTCCCCTGTGCCCGTGTAGCCGCGCGCGTCGGAGGTGGCTGTAAATGAATTTAGCATCAGCACAGTTATTTAAATTGTTTTAATTAATCACAGATTGAGCAGTAAATGAACCACTAAGTGGAGAGAGAGCGTGCAGTGAGCGAGAAAGAGGTGAGGGGAGGAAGACGGCGCCTGGCCTAAAGGAGCACAAATAGCTTCCGGTGGGCGGGGTGGGTGTGGGGAGCGTTGGAGGTGCAGATCGCTGAGGTCTGCCTCCCCCTCCTGACACACCTCCCCGCCCCAGATCTGGGTACCGCGCGGCGGCGCGGAAGGCGGCCCAGCCAGCAGGGGTGGGGTTGGGAGGGGCGTACACCCTTGAGCGGGGCGGTGGGGGAGGGGTGCCTACTCCCTGGAGAAAGGACAGAAAGTTGCCAAAAGGGGAGCGAGCAAGCAGGAGAGGGGAATAACTCTTGGTAAGAGTTTAAAACTTGCCTTGGTAGTGCTCAGTACTTGGACACCGGTTCTTGTATCTGAAAAGCACGCACGGTTGAAAATGGCGAGCATCCTTGGCCCAACAAGGCGGATGGTGCACTGAGGGGCCTTGAACGCGGATGCGGCGCCTGAATCTGAATCTGGGGGACCTGTAGAATGGGAAGGGACCCGGTGGAACTGCAGAAGACACTACGAGCTCAGATCTAGGATTCTTTGCCCTTGAACAAGACATTCAGTGATGCCCTGGGCCAACTTCCTTATCTGTAAAGCAGGTTTACCACATTCTCCAGAATTTAATGTGAGATTCGGCAACCTGTAGCCTGCAGGCCTGTTTTTGTAAAGCCTGTGAACTGAGTGGGTTGTGTGTGTGGTGTTTTTTTTTTTACACAGTTAAAAAAAAAATCAAAAGAATAATATTTCATGACACGTGAAAATTATATGAAATCTAAATTCCATCAATAAAGTTTTATTGAAACGCAGCCATGCTTTTTCATGTTAAGGCCTGTCCGCGGTTGCTGGGACAACACAGGAGCAGTTAAGTAGTTATAGCAGAGATGGGATGGCCCTGGAAGCCTGAAATATCGACCATCTGACCATTTTCATAAATGGTTTGCTGACCCCTAATTTAATACACCATGATTTGTCAGATGCATAATTTTTATGTACCGTTAACAAGGAAACACACTGCCAAATTAAACCATACCATGAGCCTTTCGTATTACTTAGATTTTATTTTACATGGATTGAAAGTTATTTTAGACTATTTAAATGTAGATTTGGACACACTTGTGAAAACGTAAAAAGGAAAATGTGTGTGAAATAAAAAGGGCTTCCCTTGTGGTTCAGCTGGTAAAGAATCCACCTGCAATGAGGGAGACCTGGGTTCAATTCCTGGGTTGGGAGGATCCCCTGGAGAAGGGAAAGGCTACCCACTCCAGTATTCTGGCCTGGAGAATTCCACTGTATAGTCCATGGGGTCGCAAAAAGTTGGACACAACTGAGCGACTTTCATTCACTCATTCCCCAAACATTTTCATATCCTAAGACCAACTCTTTTGAATCACTTTTTGACTCAAAAATCCCTTTTGTCCTTGTCTTGCATACAGTCTCATCCTCAGAGCCTTGACATAAGGCAGGATTTCTTTTTTTCTCTTCTTTTTTATTTTTTGAATTGCAGTAACATGGGCTTCCCAGGTGGCTCACTGGTAAAGCATCCACATACTAATGCAGGAGACACAGGAGACTTGGGTTCAATCCTTGGATCTGGAAGATCATCTAGAGAAGGCAATGGCAACCCACTCCAGTATTCTTGCCTGGAAAAATCCCATGGACATAGGAGCCTGGTAGGCTGTAGTCCATGGGGTCACAAAGAGTCTGACACAACTGAGCATGCACACGCAACACACAACATCGGTTTGTAACAGTATATAAGCTTCATGTGTACAATGTTATATTTCAACTTCTGTGTACACTGCTGGGTACTCACTGCCAAAAAGTTTAGCTTCCATCCATCACCCTACAGTTGATCCTTTTATCCATTTTGACCTCTACCCTTCCCCTCTGGTAACCATCTCTTCTCTGTATCTGTGTGTTCTGGTTTGGTTTGGTTTGTTCATTCCTTTTATTTTAATTTCACTTATGAGTGAAATCATAAAGTATTTGTCTTTCTCCATCTGACTTTTTTCATTTAGAAAAAGGCCTGTCCATGTTGGTGCAAATGGCAAGATTTCATCTTTTTGTGGCTGAGTAGTATTCCATTGTATATGTACAACTTCTTTATCCATCCATAGCAAAGAGTTGGACATGACTCAGCGACTAACACTTTGCTATAAAGAGGAAGAGAACTGTGGGGCAACATCCAGAGGACACTAAGGAATCAAAGCAGGCATTATTATTCTTTATTGTTATCGCTTATTTACCCACTGACAAACTTTTCAGTAGAGAATAAAAAACTGATAAGGCAAGAAAGAAAGGGGGTCATTGGTGTAAGAAGTGTCCTTGAGGACTGGAAGAACTGACTTTCTGTGGGAGGACAGTTTGTTGATGGTGTGAGGAAGGAAGTCCAGCCTAGAAGTGGGTGGGGCCATGTGGAACTGTTGTCATGGCAACTACCATCTCCATGAAATGGGAAGCAGTGCCAGAGCATCCCTAAGACAAGGGAGGGAAGAGGACACTTTTGAGGTTAGAGAAGGGCCAGTCTGAAACAGTCACCTAGGAAAGTGTAGGGGGTGAGCCTGGTTCTATATTCAGACCTCTATGGACCACTCACCACAGTGAAAAATTCATTTACATTCAGATCCAGTAGACAGCACATTTCACAAAACAATATTTAACCTTATTATATTTGGTGGGCTCTGACCTTTTTTCTATTTTATCTCACTTTTTTAATGCATATTGGACCTACTAAATTGGCTCCTTGACCCACAAGTAAATCTTGACCTGAGGCTTGTAAAAGGCTGAGTTAAGGAGGCAGCATTGACCCACGACCCCCTAGAGGCCTGTAGGAAGGAGTGGTCATCAAGACAAAGGAATGCCTATGTCCAGGTAAGGAGCAAAGAGAATGCTGGATTGAACAAAGACTGGGTATTTGCCAAGCAGGTGTCACTCATTAAAAACTGACAGGTCATAGGATCTAAGGAAAGAGTTGAGGGTATGAGGGGTGAAAGGCAGTAGGAAGATGCTGGGGTTTGGGGTGGACTGAAGGTCTGGATGAGGTCAAAGAACTGTGGAGACCAGGAACCACAGGGAGTGATGGGGAATAACGCAGGGTTTAGTTAAAAGCATGGAGTTGGCCGGCCAGTGGGGAGTTGCAGTTGCCAAATACTGGTAGGAACAAGGTCCAGGGTGTAACCATGGAGGTAACTGGCTGAGCCAGGATGAGGAAAAAAGTCTAAGGAATGAGGAGGCTGGGTTACGGGAGAGATCCCCTCTGCAGACACTAAAGTCCCCCCAAATTATGACCCCGGATGTCCCAGGCTGGATTCACAGCAGAGGCCAGAGGCTTCAGTCTCTGAGACACAAACCCAAGCCCTAGAGATGATGAAAAGGAAGAGGGGTGGCAGGAGGCTTGAATCTCACCGTCTGTGGCTGACCCTGGGCAGCAAGGATGGGCAAGGAGTTCCCGCAGTGTGGAGGGCGGGACTACTTGAGGGGCTGCCAGGGATGCGTGTGCTCAGGGAGATCCATGCGTCCCCCAGAGCAAGAGGGCAACGGGAAGATCCAGGGAGGAGGCTGAGCACCTGGGAAACCTTGCAGACACAACGCTGAGCGCTAGAGGGTCTGGGCCGCGGCATCACGGGCAGGGCAGGTGGGACTTCCTGTTGGGGAGACATTGTTTAAATTGTGGGAGGATGGGGATTCTGGAAAGCACACTGACTTTGGTTTAATTCGTGTTTTAAGTCCTCCACAGTCCTCTACAGTTCTTCCCTGAACCGGGGTGGACTGCTGGTTTGCAGAGTTGGGAGCTGCGTGAAGCTGAGTCAGTTAGGGGTGCAGCCAGAACAGCATAGGATTCGATTTGGCGACGGGGTGGCATTGGAACTGCTAACGCCCCATGTGTGCTGTCCTCTCCTGAGGACTTCTTCACACAAAGCAATTCATTGAACCCTCACAACTACCCTGGAAGTTGGGCCCTGTAATTAGCCCTGTGTTACAGAGGAGGAAACTGTGGCCCTGAGAGGTACGTGATGGGCTGGAGGATCTACAGATTCCAGATGAAAGAGCCGAGGCTCCCACCAAGGTCGGCTGGCTCCAGACTCTGGGCTTGGTACCCCTGCGGGCCCCTGCCTCCCCCTGGGCCCCACTGTGATGACCCAGGGGCCTGGTATCTCATGGTGGCTGCTGTCCATGGGGCTGTGAACATCCTGGGTTCATCCCAGTGGTCCCTTGGGCTCTGAGGGCTGAGATCAGGGTGTTTACTGGGCTCCTGAATCTCCCTTCCCTTACCCCACACTCTGTCACTCCAGTGGCTGTGACCTTGAGCAAAGGGCCGGTTCCCTGGGACCCGAAACTCAGCTGCCCCCCTGTCTGTCTAATGAGATTAGGGATGAACAGGTTTGTGGATGCAGCAAGAAGTGACTGCTAGAGGCCAGACAGATGTAGGACTCCACACCTGTTATGGGGATAAGAGAATTTCCTTTTTAAGGCAGGTCGAGTTGCAGTGTCCCTCTCTTGCAGCCAAAGCGTCACTAACAGTATTATAGGGAGGGTCTGCCACGCAAGACGTCCAGGGAAGAGCAGCGTAGAATCCAGGGAAAGCCAAGATTTGGGGAATCAAGCTTCAAAGAGGTCTGGCAGCCAGGCTGTACCCACCAGGAAGGCCTTTATGATCCCTGAATAGGAGGGGCCTCAAAAAGGAGGCCCTGTGGGAGAACTGGATGCAGGCCAGGACCCAAGATGTACCGTCGGGCCATTTCCTGGCAGCGAAGGTGAGAATACCAGCCGGAGAGTGGAGCTGCCCTTACTGGAGTCTGACCCCCACCGTGTATTAGCTGTGTTCCTTCAGTCGCAGGAGAGAACCTCTCACCACATCTGTTCCCTTCTCTGCCACGTGAGGAGGGCATAGTACCTGCCTCCAGGGTTACCAGGTGTGCAAATGAGATCATTCTTGCCAGTGATCATGCTTGCCTAGCACAAGGCCTGGAGACGCTGAGAAAGTGCCAGTGATGAACATTATTCCCCTTCCTCTGCTCCCCAGGCTGGCTGCCCAGTGGGATGTCCACCCATGCTCCTCTCCCCTTCTATTCCTGCCTGGCTGACTTGTGCACATCCTTGATGAAGCAAATTTAGGCATCCCCTCCTCCTGGAAGCCCTCCCTGCCTTCCTCCTACTCCAGCTCTGGATAGATGTCTTTCTGTGTGTGCTTTTACCCGCTGGTATTTTGAAATCTGCCTCCCAGCTTATTATAGGCTCCTGGTGATTGTTGAACCAATAAGGTAGTGAACAAATAAACTGGGATGGCATCAACTCGATGGACATGAGTTTGAGCAAGTTCTGGGAGTCGGTGACAGACAGGGAGGCCTGGCATGCTGCAGGCCATGGGGTCACAAAGAGTCAGACACGACTGAGCAACTGAACTGAAACAAACTGGGGAAGTGGGGACTGGGTTTCAGAAACAACAGAGAGGTTTATTTATCAAAACTGAGGACTAAGGGACACGTGATGAGAGGGGCTGATACTGAATGCTCTGAGGCCTCCACACACACACACTCCATTGTGTTGGTCTCAGAGCCATTTTTCACTCTTGCAGCAAATATTCCTTAGTTCCCATTATATCCTATACCCAATTCTTGGCACTAAAGACACAGAAATAAACAAGATGTTCATAATTCCTTATCTCTTTGTGCCTGCTATATTCTAGTAGCAGAAACAAACACACAAGGAAATACATAAAATACAAGATAATTTCAGATCAAAGATAATATGAGGGAGAAAATGAAAACATGCAGAGCAGAGGGAGTGACAGGGATTAAAACAAAAACAGAGACAGGAGTAAATGGCGAGATGGAGGAGGCCAGGCCAAATCTGGAGGAAGGACTACTCACCCAGAGGGCATAGGCAGGATGTGCAAAGGTCCTGAGGCAGGACCAGGCTTGGTGTGCTGGAGGAACTGAAAGAAACAGGGAGGTGGTGCATGGGTAGCCAGATGGAGAAGAGAAACATAGGTCAAGGTAACATGTTCAGTAAGAAGCTTTTAGAGGTTTCTTTACCAGCTGAGCCACCAGGGAAGCCCTATAGAGGTTTAAGCAGGTTTTAAGCATGACCTGACTTACAGTTTTAAAAGGAGTGATCTGGCTGCTACATTAAGAAATGGCTGTGTTAAATAGATGGTCCAGTGCTCTGTGATGATCTCTAGGGGTAGAACGAGGGGGATGGAAGGGAGGTTCAAGAGGGAGGGATCAATATGTACACAGAGCTGGTTCACATTGTACAGCAGAAGCCAGCACAACATTGTAAAGCAATTATACACCAATTTAAAAAAATGTTTTTAAATAAAAGAAGTAACCATAGTGGGCAGGGGACAAAGAGAGTAGCAGGGAACTGGTGAGGAGGCTTTCATGACTGGCCACCATTGTTCAAAGCAGTGGTGGTTTGAAGAAGAGCCATGGCCTTGCTCAGGGCCCATGCTCAGGGTCCACACTTGGGGTCCACGCTCAGCCCGGCTCCCAGCATCTCTGCTGTTCTTCCTGCAGCTGGTCACCAACAGTGGGTGGACACATCCTCCTGCCCTGGACTGTTCTTCCTCCCCTCCCTGCCTTCTGCAGCTAACACCTGCTCTCAGAGTTATTTATCACCATTCTCTTCCCTAAGGATGTCTGCCTCTGTCTGAAAACACCTTCTATGAATATAAAGGAAACACCAACGGCCAGTGCCAGCTCTGCCCAGCGGATCTCTGTGTGCTGTGTCTCCTTTGAGACGTCAGAAGTCATAATAAAGGCTAATATTGATTGAACACTCATGAGGCACCGGCCCAAGCTAAGTGCTTTTCTTACTGTTGTGGGTTTAATTGTGTCCCTGAACAATGCAATTGTGGAAACCCTGACCCCAGTGCCTGTGAATGCACCATTGTTGGGAAACCAGGTCTTTGCAGGTGTCCTCCAGTGAAGATGAGGTCCTTAGGGCAGATCCTAATCCAGTCTGACTGGTGAGCTTCTAAGAAGAGAAGGGACAGAGAGACAGACTTGGATTTCCAGCCTCATCCCTTGCCCTCCCAAGGAGCCCTGCCCCTCCCACTTCAGGGCGGCCGCCTGGTGGCAGAGCTCGGTGCCCATCTGGCCTCAGCAAGGGCACACCACTGGGTTCCACCCGTGTGCTGAGCTGTGGAGCTCTGCTCGTTGCCACTTTGCCACCCCGGTCATACTTGCTCCCGTGCTGTCCTCGCTCCAGACTGTGACCCAGCTCTCATCCGGCTCTGCCTTCCAGTGCCAGAGCAGCCCAGCATCACACAGGGGCTTGGCGACCAGCCACCAGGGAAGGGAGGACCTGTTTTCAGTATTAGAATATTCCACATTTTGGAAATGGGTTTACAAAGAGTCGGACACAACTCAGCAACTGAACAAAAACAACATCTTAGAAAAATACAAAATTTGAATCATTTACATCTTGAGACATACCCAGAAAGTCATAGGCTGAATAAACAAACTCAAACTGAATCAAACTGCCTGCTTCAGAAAGCAGTTCTTTCTCATATAAAACAATTTCCAGGTTGTCATCTAAATTCCCAGGACTTCCCTGATGGTCCAGTGATTAAAATGTGCTTCCACTGCAGGGATGCAGGTTCACTCCCTGGTCAGGGAACTAAAGTCCCACATGCCACAAAACACAGTCAAATAATAAATAAATAAATAATCTAAAAATTACATTTCCATTTCTTGGGTTACTAATGAGAGGGAGCCCTTCTCCTTATGTTAATAAGCATTTAACAGTTTTAAAATGTTAATAATAATCATTGCCATTTCCTCCAGAGTCCGTTTAAACCCCAAGACTACTTCCCAAAGTCCTCATGGAGTCGCCTTAGCCTAGGGTTGGGGGACTAGAGGGCAGTAATGAGGGAAAGCAATGGTGGAAGTGATCACAGTGGGACTGAGGAAAGCAGGAGGAAGGCAAGGCTGGTCCCATATCCCATCCCAACCTCTGGATCCTGAGCACTTCCTTTCCTGCAAGGTAAACCCCTCTGCCCCCCTTCCCACCCCCATCACCACCAGGGCCCTGACCACTTGTGATTGTCCAGGTTGTATCTACACGGGCACACCTGCTGGGAGGGCCAGGAAACCCCAGCTCTCCCTGTTTACCAGGCTCTGTGCCCTCCCGTATCTGCCTCAGGAGAGCACCTCCCTACCTGGTCCAGGTCCTCCATGGGCTGACAGCAGGTCTGGCTCTACCAACGACAGAGGACACAAGGGGGGCCCAGCTTTCATTTCTTCAGCCAAAGACCTGAGAAATGGAATATTTCCTGCCATATCAGTAAATAAGGATGTCACAGTCATCAGCGATTGCAGCTCTCCAATGTGAGCCGATGAGCCCGGAGGGAACATGGGAAGGAAAAGAATACCTGCCATCTAGCCGCCATCAGACAACAGCAACTCCCTATGGTGAGCCCCAAGGAAGCTCAGGATGTGAAAAATATAAGATACTGGCCCCAGTAGCTGAGGTACATATCAAAGGAAGGATTTCAGTGAGTCCAAACTCTTGCATCTTCCCATAAATACAAAGATGCTAAAGTCCTTAGCTTGGAATATCTGATTTTCTTTAATTATCAATAATCTCTTGATGTTCAGACTACCTACCCTTTGTTGCAAAACTTCTATATAACCTGGTTCCTCTCCTCACCTCTTTGGAGCAATTCTTTCAGCGTTACTTGAGATGCTGTCTCTGGGGCTTGAAGTCCTAAAGATTTCCACCGAATAAAACATAACTCTCAATTTTTAGGCTATGAATATTTTTTAAGTCAACAGGTCCTACTCAAAGCATCTCAACCCAAAGGATGCTGTTGACCTCCAATCATCTTAGAAACTAAAGGAAGAGAAAGGAGGTCTCCCAGCCTATGCAGACTGACTGTGAGATGGGTGTGGCCCCCTCCCCAATGCTTCCTGGGTGTGCCAAAACGATAATCCACTCCATCAGCCTCCAGGGGCCAGGCCGGAAGGTGGCCAACCACGGCTGAGCAATCAGAGGCCTGCATGGGCTCGGGCATGGACAGATGGTCTTCTGCTTTATTTCCTATTAGCCTTGTAATGTGGTACACTGAGTGTAATTGGTACGTGAATCAGGAGACACGCTCTCTTTTATGTTCTCTGTGGGAACCTCCTTGTGTCCCTCTGCCACACTCTGGCACTCCTCCAGCTGGTCACTCTGACATTTCTGGAGCTAGCAGAGAAGATGCTTTGTTGCACCCCCTAAACTGGGGAGTGACATCTTCTCAGGCTTTTGGAAGTAGCAGCCTTCAAACCATGGGGAGGACCAGCCTCCCTTTTCCATCCTTGGAGAAAAAGTCTGGTTCCAACCAGAAGGAACTAGAGAGGCCAGGCATCAAGCAATGGGAACAGATGCTGGCTCCGCTGTATTTGTTCAGGGCTATGGCTTCCTGCAGGCCCAGCTTCTCTCTTCCTGTCACCACTGCCACACTGGCTGCCTCTCAGACCAACTCTGCCAGCATTCCCCAGGGTCCTCCCCAACCTCAACTAACCCTTCTGTACTAGCAAGGACACAGTGTCTCGGGGAAAGTCTGGCTTTGGAAGACCCACAAACCCAAAACTGAATGTAGATCTGAGTACCTAGGCTAGGTGACTTTCCCTCCCAAGGCCTCAGTTTCTTCATCTGTAAAATGGGCAGGTCATACCTCTCACCTTGGCTTGTAGGAAGAATGAATTAAATCTCCCAGAAACTCTAGTACAGTGTTGGTGTCCAAAACATGTTAATTTCACTCCTCCTCCTATCCCCTCCAGCCTTGCCTCCCCCATCTGACTGTCAAGAAATGCTTTTCATAGATGCTCAACATCACTCATTATCAGAGAAATGCAAATCAAAACCACAATGAGGTACCATTACAGGCCAGTCAGGATGGCTGCTATCCAAAAGTCTACAAGCAATAAATGCTGGAGAGGGTGTGGAGAAAAGGGAACCCTCTTACACTGTTGGTGGGAATGCAAATTAGTACAGCCACTATGGAAAACAGTGTGGAGATTTCTTAAAAAGCTGGAAATAGAACTGCCATATGACCCAGCAATCCCACTTCTGGGCATACACACCGAGGAAACCAGATCTGAAAGAGACACGTGCACCCCAATGTTCATCGCAGCACTGTTTATAATAGCCAGGACATGGAAGCAACCTAGATGCCCATCAGCAGACGAATGGATGAGGAAGCTGTGGTACATATACACCATGGAATATTACTCAGCCATTAAAAAGAATTCATTTGAATCAGTTCTAATGAGATGGATGAAACTGGAGCCCATTATACAGAGCGAAGTAAGCCAGAAAGATAAAGACCATTACAGTATACTAACACATATATATGGAATTTAGAAAGATGGTAACGATAACCCTATATGCAAAACAGAAAAAGAGACTCAGATGTATAGAACAGACTTGTGGACTCTGGGAGAAGGCGAGGGTGGGATGTTTCAAGAGAACAGCATCGAAACATGTATATTATCTAGGGTGAAACAGATCACCAGCCCAGGTTGGGTGCATGAGACAAGTGCTCGGGCCTGGTGCACTGGGAAGACCCAGAGGGATCGGGTGGAGAGGGAGGTGGGAGGGGGGACCGGGATGGGGAATACATGTAACTCCATGGCTGATTCATTTCAGTGTATGACAAACCCGCTGCAATGTTGTGAAGTAATTAGCCTCCAACTAATAAAAATAAATGAAAAAAGAAAAAGAAATGCTTTTCATTATGTCAAAGAATGGATCCAGGAAACAGCTTGGGGAAGCCCCAGTCTCTTCACTCTGAACACACAGCTGTGAGTTTATCTATCCCTAAAGCAGTTCTCCAACAATTCCTTCCATGGTCAGACATAAAAATCACCAATAAACTAACCACTTATATACACATCCTTGCTGGGATGTCCCACCCCATTTAACACCGTGTCTCCCACGGCTCATCACACTATCCAGTGAGCAGTGAGTCACCCTCATGGACAGACCTCAGCACTCCAAGATGCTGTGCCCATGAAGTTCAATTAACTGTATTTGAAAATGCAAATCTCAGGCTTCCCTGGCAGCTCAGTGGTGGGGAATCCACTTGCCAATACAAGAGACATGGGTTCAATCCCTAGTCGGGGAAGATCCCACATGCTGCAGAGCGACTGAGCCCACACACCACAACTACTGGGCCTGTGCTCTAGAGCCTGGGAGCCGCAACTACTGAAGCCCGAGTGCCCGAGAGCCTGCGCTCTGAACAAGAGAAGCCACTGCAATGAGAAGCCCATGCACCACAATTAGAGAGTAGCGCCTGGCCTCCGCAACTACAGAGAAGCCCTCACCAGCAATGAAGGCCCAGCACGACCTAAAATAAATAAATTTTTTTTAAAAGAAAGTGTAAATCTCACAAGTGAGACAGGATTTCATGAGCTCAACGAAAGTGATGTGAGAGCATGGTTCCAATCACACAGAGAGCCTTTGATCAGTGAGCAGCTAAGAAGCAGTCTTGTGATTCAAGCCCCTCCTTCCTGTTACTCCTTACAAACCTATGAGCAAGTTACTAAGCCTCTCCATGCCAGTTTCCTTATAAAACACACCAAATATGTCCTACCCCATAGAATCATGTAAGAATAAATCCATTAATATACACAAAGAGCCTTGCTCATGGTAAACACTCAAAAAGTGCTAGCTATCAGTACTGTGTAGAAGGGTGAGACCAGTTAATAATTAACAAAGAGGAAATCAATG